GCCAGCTTGGCTAGTTCCATGGCCTCCACAGGCTTCTCGGACGCAGACGCCTCTAAGCCGGGGAGGATGGCTTGTAGGGCTTGAAGGTAGAACGAGGCCTCTGTTGTGCCCTTGAATTCATTTGACTCAACCATTACGAGAAGTAGACTCGTCCAGGTTTTGAGAACGCCAAGGCCTTGGGAGGCAATGCGCTTTTGCCTGTTCGTGAAGATTAGATAGTCGACAATAGCTGACTCTTCTCGTTCCAAGGCTACGTAGTCCGCCGCCGTCAACACTACGCCTTCGTCCTTTCTCTCACTACGCTTCAGAAGCAAAATCTCCTTGGCGCGGTCAATGTGATAGATAGGGTTTCCGTGGTCATCCTCTTCCAAGCATATTCTGAGGTCAAGCTCCTTGTAGAACTGGAGGGTTGGCAGCGACATGTCCCAGATGCCCTCAGGCAGCAAGAAGTCGTAAAGGTCGAACACGGTTGGGATCGTCATGGGCTCGTTGTTGTCACCCACTATCTGGCCGTTGAGAGCGTCAAAGATTCGTCTTTTGAGGGACGGCATTCGGGTCTGTGATACGCTGCAAAGCTCCATCGCGATGTACTCTAAGCTCATGCTGCGGAGACCCAGAAAATCGATGAGCGTCGGGGCACCGTCTGTAAGGGGGAAATGAGGTAAACTAATCTCCTGTCCCTCCCAAGGCAGAGCAGGTTGAATGACAACTTCTCGCAGAAGGAAGTGAAACAGAACGTCGTTCTCGCGGAGCTCGTCAATAATGAGAGGAGCTGATAGAGGTGAAGTCCAGAGCACTCGGAGGATGCGCATACACTTGCTCTTCATAGAGATGAGCCATTGCCTCATGCCCTGAGGGTCGCCAAATGGCGTTTCTAGCAACAATCTCAGCATGCTGTGAAATAGTGAATTTCTGGATGCGAATGAGCCGTCTGAGTCGATAGCCAGCGTATCAACACCGCATTGGAAGCCCAGCAGGAGGTGAGCAATCGTTGGCTTGTTCGGGCTTGCCGCAAGGCAGCTAAAAAGAAAATCGAGAATATAAGATTTGGTTAGGTAAGTGGGCGATTCTGCTTCGCGTCCCAAGTCGAGTGGCGCCGTCAGCTCTGCCGCAAGAGACCGGGAAATGGCTTCGTGCTCTCCGTTGGCCTCCATGGCGACGATGGCCTTGTTGCGATGATTCTTGCGGCCTGGGCTAGATGACCACGCAGAGGTCATCTTGAAGGAAGCAGTCATCTTTTCCAGAAGCTTCAAGCATGCCAAAGTCAGGTCGGGGTGCCCGAGCCCGCAGTAGCTTCCGAGATCAACCACGAGACCCAGGTGTCCGACCAGCCCGTCTTCGAAAGATGCGTAGGCGGCATTCGCGACAGGTGGGCGGCGGTGATTGGACTGCATCTTGATGATTGGCCGCACAAGATCTAGGAAAGTTGCCTGGAGGTCCAAGACCTTTGAGATGACATCCACGGCTCTCAGGATGCCCAGGATGACGGGCGAATCTGGCGTCGCATTACCAACATCCACAGCATCTTGATGGATAGTTTGGTAAAGAGCGTTAATGACCTTATCATTAAACATCCATTCCATGACGCGAGCGAAAGGGTGCAACTTGACGTACGTCGCCAGATCCGTTGCCGCCATTGCAGAGTCAATGGGGATGTTCGTCTCATTGGCGATAACGATGAGGTTCTCGTTGAAAGTCGACAGGCAGGTTGCCGCAAATTCAAGACAACTCAGACGGAGCATCCTCAGCTGGTTGGTGTCGTTTACTTCGTTGGCCTTGTTAGCGAACACCTTGCCTAGTACCGTGTCGACGTAAATTTCGATACCGGGCATGCGGTTGGCCGAGCCTAGGTTCTCGGGGAAAGGCAAGCCATCATTTAGAGAGCTACTATCCTCGGGCGGGGTAACAAGAGCAATCAGGAGCTGGATAAATGCGTGGGGCTCTTCGAAACCGTGGCAAATATCATCGCTGACGGTTTCCATCGATACCACAGGCGAGCTTTGTGGTGACCTATGTTGAACAGCAGTCACGATGTAACCGCCGTTCATCCAAGCTTCTAAGCATTGCCACATGATGTTAGCTTCTTCCTGAGTCTTCCGCGTGATAAGTGCACGAAGAGCCATGAAGGTGCCTGCTCGTAAATCAGCGGGAACAGGACTGCTGGCCAGCTGGAACAGCATCTCAACGAGATTGAAGCTCGGCTCTTTCAGAAGGAATTGTCTCGCAGTCTCGCTCTCCGACGCAAGCTTGGTGATCAGTCGCAGGTAAGATTGCAACATCATCGTGGATTCTGGCTCAGCCTCGGCCTGGTCGCTACTGGGACGACCTGGTCGATATGCTGACGAAATCTGCGGCGTATGCGCCTTTTCTCTGATCTTATTCGCGAAGAACACGAGCTCTCTGAATATTTGTTGCCATGTAAGGGACTGTGACCTTCTCATTTTGCCAGATGCGTGGTGGCCCTCGTCAAGCAAAAACTCATGAGCAGCAGTCGCGCAGTCGTCGTTGCCAGAAATGGCTTGCAACATCTCACAAAATGAACTGACGAGCGGCGTGGAGGCCCTACGCGATGCCCAGTGCATGAAGCCCGCCAGATTGCTGTCAGGGTCTGACCAAAAGCTCATCGCCGCATCAGGGCGCCCCTCGTAGGCGTACGCAATGATGACCAAGAACCTTTCCAAGTCCAAGTCCTGCTCGTGGCTTTGGCTGAGCTGGCGTTGTTCATCCTCTTCTACGCGGAGCTTCCGCAGTACGTCGGGAAGGTTAGAAATGAAAGCATCAACAAAGACTTCGAGTTGGGCCATCAAGCATTGCTGGAAAAAGTCGGAGAAAAGGATTGATTCCGAAATCAGGGGCGGTGCCTTCCGCTGGAGCCAGTTGCGCATGGTTATGCGCGATGGGTCAACCCATTCGGGTGTCTTGATGTCTGCTGCGATGGAGAGAATGAAGTCGAATGCACCATCTTTCAGTGCTTCGAGAAACTGCTTGGATCTTTGTCTGTCCTCTGTATTGAAATCAGCACCGAATCAGCGAAAGGATTAGTAGGCACATACCTTGATCGAGATCCACGCCTTCTAGACCGCCAAGCAGCGAGTCGTCGAGATACCATCCACTGTACTCAGATAGCCACCAAGCCTTGACCGCCGCCTGGAGGTAGACCAAACGCCAAGGGCTTTCATCAGTAATGAGCGGATGGAGCTGTCTCGCCATGGTCAGGTTAGATACGCCCTCGGTAGAGCCGTAAAGTGTGATGTATGCGCCCAGGGCCGGGAAGAAGTGTGCTTTGGTCATGTCAATAGGCGTAACCGAAATGGTGTCGTCTTCTACGTACCCAAGAGAACATCATATTTGTCGGCATTTTTCAGATGTTGCAAGAACGACTTGAAATCATTGACTTCGGCTTCCCGTTTCTCAATTGCTCGACACAGAATAATGGCGAGAAGCTCATGCTGCTGATACAGACTGACGCGAGAAAACTCGATTGTCTCCATCTCTTCCGGGACTTGGCCTCCTTGTCCATTGATGAGCACAGCCGCGGCGGTCATCTTGTCGGCAATCTTCTGGAGCCATCCCCTGACGTCTTGCATCGCTGACATGCATCTCGGAAGCAGTCTCTTCTGCGAAGATGCGGTTTCACCCGGTAAGTTCTGGAACACGGCAGCCGACAGGTACAGCTGTACCGCGTTCAGTATCTCGGCGTCGAAGTCGTCCTCGTCCAACCCATCAATCTCCAGCATCAATCTGACGCAGTCAAGGACATATTTGCGCTGTTGATGCACTCGTATTAATCCGCATTCGAGGAGTGAGCGGCCAATGACGGAGGGGTCCTCCTCAGCTTCAAGGACGTATCGCGCGGCCTCGACTTCGTTGATTTCGGCTTCGTCGGCGAGGTTGAAAACGATCTGCTGAAAATTCTCATTGATGGAGTATTCCTCGTCGTCAATTACGATCTTGCCTAGCGCATCATGCTGTGTTAGACTCGAGTCGGTCAAACTGGAGAGCTGCAACTGACCAGACTTGACCTGATTCCTGCTCTTTTCGTCTCTTTGAGGTCTCTGCCAAACACTCTCGAGCTCCCGTTCGAAAATAGCTTGGATTACGGGGTTGTCCAGGGAATCGGCGCCTTCAGGGCGACCATCGCGGACCGCGGCCAGATCGCGGTGGAATGCCTGCAGCGCATCTAGGGTAGTTGGTTCGGCCATGTTGGGGAATTGGGCGCGCTATTGCATGGCCTCGGGGCCGAATCGTCTCATGGGCTAAGAAAAAGCCCGCGAAGATGTCGCGATGGCGTGAAGCGACAAGTTTGGAAGATGTTGTTAGGTCGCGGATCTCTGCCCAGGTGACGAACTTCGAGGTTCTGGGAATTTTAGAGTGGACCTACGCCGGAAGCCAGGTACCTCACTACCTGCCTAAGGTACCTTCTGAGTAGGCGTCCATAGGCTGAGCTTTACCACAGGCGCGTGGTCGGTGCCAGACGCTGCCTCGCTCGTCCAATTGTCTGCGCCGTACGTTGCTGTGTCGAAAATCCCCGTCCGGAGCGAAGATATTCCGGGACAAAAGTTAACACAAGCGGTGCTATTGAGGCAGGCGGTGGACTTTCTGCCGTGAATTTCCGACAGGGGTAAGATGCCTAGGGGTAAGCTCCCGGAGCTAGAGGTACCTGGAGGCGCGAAGCTTGATTGCGCTCAGTGAGCGAGCTCTCATGCGCCGCGTCTGACATACCTACGTACATAATAAGTCCATACATACATACATACACGCGCCTGAACACCTTCCGTACCTTTTTGGTTGCGATTGACGTGGAAGGAACTGGCGACTGCCTGCGCCTGCCTTGGAGAGGCGTTTCGGCCAAAGTCGTGACTGCCCCTGCGAATAAAATATTGTGTCTAGCTGCTCTGGATTCTGTTACTGTCATCCGTCCGTCCGTCTCCATGCTGCGCGACGAATCAACCAGCGACACCAAGAAGAAAGACGGCGACACCAGCATGCGCTAGGCCAGCATGGCGCCTCCAAAGCTCAAGACGGGCGAGATCACCGTCAACGATGCCCTCAGTCAGTCAACAAATCCTTTTCCTGAAAGCAGTAACTGACGATTATTCAAGACGCTATATCTGGTGGAACGCTCAAAGAGCGCGGGGCGGGTCTCGACGGTACGTGGTATACGGCATAATCACAGGTCATTTTGTCATCTTCTAACGTGTGTTAGACCTGATATTCCTTCTGGATAAGAAGGGCAAGACTGCTGCCTTGTAAGTTGAGAAACCACCCCACCCCACCCCCTGGCTGGCAGGAAGACGACGAGAGAAGACGACGAGAGAAGACGGCGAGGGATGATGATGTGGGAAGATGACGAGACTGACGAAGACAGAACCGACCTGGGGGACAAGCACTATCACCGTATCTTTGAGGGTCTGTTTCGCTGCGCGATCGCCGAGAAGCAGAACTTTTATGGGGGCAAACGAACTACAGCGGCCGCTGCCGGCTCCAGATTATCCAAGTGCGCCGAGGCTTTGCGCTTAGCAGTTGCCCACGGTGCCTCGAAACTGAAGCGGAAGACTCTCATAGCTGTGATCGATCATATCACACAGACCCTTCCAGGCCCAGGCGAGGATGCAGACTTCGTAGAGCCGCTACTCAAAGACTACGTAAGGTCTCTCGCCGCGCTACTTGGCCACCAGCCCAATAGCGAGCATCTCGCCATATTGAGCGCAGACGGCTGGCTAGCCTGTGTTGACTTTTGCATCGACACAATTTCACGATACCTCGAGAATGCAGACAGAGATTCCGTTTCGCGTTCGTCTCCGGCTCCTGGTACAGCCTCGATGGGCTTTTCAACAGGTCGCAGTACCAACCCAAGCCAGCGGGTGACGGGGCAGATTCATCGCGGCACTGTTCAGGACCTTCTCCACTGCATCTACCTGCTTGTCATTCCTCCAAATGCGCCTCTTTGGAGAAGAACTAAGGATTTGTCCAAGACGCTCATTCAGATTCTGCATGTTCGTCATGTTGGGTTAGGCCAAATTACACAGCTCGCCTTTGCTTCAATCAATGTTTTACTGGCGGCAACCCAGACAGATGATCTGTCGCGTGCCAGCAGCTTGGCCAGGGATTTGGTGCCTCTTGTCAGTCATTGGTGGCAAGGTCGTACAGTTTCTCAAGATGAGATGCTGAATTCGGTCAGAGACGAAATGTTGAAGACCATCTTCCTTACCCACTTGCATCTCGAATGTCTCGTTTTCCAGGAGGATGACCACGTTCTTAAGGGCATCGAAGACCTCATAGATGCCTTGTGGCAAGAGTACTCTCGGCGAGACCTTCGATCACAACTTCAGCTGGAGGATCTCACTTTCGTACCGCATCGATTGCCTCAAGATTATTTCACTATTTCACTATTCGGTCTTCGCCCTCACAACCGCGATGGCGAAAGAAGATGGGCGTTGGTCCAGAATCTCGCCATTTTAGAACGTATCCTGTGGAAGGCCCGGAAGCAGCAACGGTCTCAGTCACCAGATGAGCAACCTCGGAAGAAGCGCAAAACACATACAAGCCGGATCCAAGAATATCTCCAGTCGCACAATTCAGCTACACAGCGAACAGCATTGCAGCTGGTACCTTTTCTCTTGAACCTTGGCACTTATACCAAAACAGATATTGCAGAGCTGCTACCAAATGTGGTAGCCTTTATCAGCGACAAGGACGCAACTACCGCTTCTTGGGCGATGCTAGCTTGTGCAAGGTAGGCTTCCATCGCCCCTCCATCATCATTCCCTTTCTCTATTGTCCTCCGTACCCATCGTCCTCCATCATCGTCCCCCTTATCTATCATTCGGATGATGCACCCGTGTCAACTGATTGCTAACTGTCTCACAGTTGCACTCAAACCGACTGCGTTGACAGCACTGTATGGAAGCACATATGGCAGATTGCGGCGAGAGCCATCAGTCTACCTGGTACTAGCCGAGCGGCTTGTGTCTTTCTTCATACGGTTCTGGAAGCGAAAACCGAACTCCTTTCCTATCATGACGTTTCAGACGAAGTGAACAGCATAGTCACAACTGCCGACGTCAACGGGCCCATACTCCTCGTTGATTCTTCGATTACCCTTATGCTGCATCTACTCTTTCTTCGGAACGTGAAGCTGCCGAATGCCAGTCAAGCGACGAGCCATCACATCATTCGATGGATCTTTTTGAAATGGAATCCAAGTGAGTAGTCCTGGCGAACGATAATTATGATCTAACAGTCCTTAGCTGAAATGAGCTATGCCGCTCTATACTCAATTCATGCGCCAGTAACTGAACTAGTCAACTTGATTCGTGCCTGCTGCGGCTCTGCACTTCTGCACCATACGTCCCAAGAGGCCGTGTCAGGCGGTTCAATATGTCAAACTTGGAGAGCCCAGTACCACGCTTCTGTGCTGACCAGATACCTGCTCTTGCTGGAAGAACCAAAGCCACAAACCCGGGAGGCCACGAGCTGTGGTCAAGCTGTTGCATCAGTTGAACTGATCAAAGCTGGTGACTCGGCAGCATTCCATGCCTCAAAGAAGCTCGTACTGGAGCTTCTGTTCCCGAAAATCGAGAGCTTGCAAGATCTTTGCGAGTCATGGAGCAAAAAAGGATCAGAGGGCGGCACGCAAATATCCTCAGACAGATTCCACAGTCTCTTTTCAGCTGTGGTTGCAGGAACCATGCTTGTCTCGCAGCTGACTGATCTAAATTCAGGACAGTCGCGGGACATCGAGTCGACCATCGCCAAGCTCACCAGCACAAGCCTTGAGGCTGCTACTGCTTCAGACGACAGTCAGCAGTTCTTCGAGATATTGTTCAAAATCATGCGGCCTGTCCTCCCGTCCTTGGAGACAGAGAGCATTAACGCAATTTTGAAAGATGATACTCCGCTGCTCAAACTAATCACAAAGATAGCCGAGGCATATCGCGATCAATCAAGCCGCCAATCTTCGGGGCAAAACCAAGATTTCATGGATCTGGACGATGAATTCGACTCACAAGAGAGTAAGGCCAGTATCGCAACAAAACCGGCTGATGTTCCTCGTTTGAACACATCCTTGAGCTTGGACTTGGGAGCATTCTATCTTGCGACTGAGCAGCGGATGTACTTCTTCGAGGCGATGCACAATGATAGAGGTCAAGTAGGCCTTGTTCCACAAGATTTCTTGGAGCAGCTGCTGGACCTCTCTGATGAAGGGTTTTTGATGTGTGCTGCCTTGACTTTCGAAATATTCGGCTCCGACCTAAACATAGGCCCAGATGTTGCTGAACAGGTGGTCGAGAAGATCGGCTACATCATTGGAGAAGCAGAATACAATTGTTGCGAAGTGGCGCACTCAACCAGCTTGCGCATTCTGGAGGGCCTCATGCAGATCTGGGTCGATGAGAAAGTCGAAGTATCCAAGATGGTTGGCGACCTCTATGACCATCTTGTCGGCTCTATGTCGAAGAATAGTCTTTCACCAAAATCGCAGATATCTCTGGCAAGTTTGCTGCTTGCTTTGCTGCGAAACGAAACTCAGTATGCAGACAATTTCGGGTCGACGTCTTGCCGCACAACGTTGCTGTCTATCATGAAACAGGGGACGCTTGCTGTAAAGCACTTCATCGGGGTCGCCTTGCCAGACATTTTCGGCGTTTATGTGCTCAAAATGCACGACGAAATTTTCGTTGATGTCTTGAATAGTCTGCCCACTGATCCAGAAGCAATTGAGGGAATCGCGTTTCGGCTCTTTGTTCTGTCACAACTTGCCTGTCGCTGGCCAACCCTTCTTAGGAGGAGCACATACCACATCTTCGAAACACCTGGCAAGATTGCTCAGTCTGCGAAGTACGCCAAGAGATGCCTGGATAATGTCTCGACCGCTCTTCAGTTGAGTTCGTCCAAAGAGCTTTTCCAGATTTTCAGCCCACAACTGCTATACACGTGGCTGGAACTAGATGCCATGGACGACATACCGTTTGAGATATTCGGTTTCACCAGTCTCGATGCACTACTTCAAGAAGCACAAGCCGAGATCGCAGCCTTGGAAATCATGCGAGGGCGCTACGACAGCGTACGGACACTATCCGAGAGACTTGGTATGCCTCTTGCCGAGATGGTCAAACAAAGCTTCACGAAGATCATGGCGTACACAATCGCTCACGAAACAAGCATATCTGCCTCCGAGACCCAGAACGACGGGAGTGAGAACTGGGTGAAGAAGTTACTGGGTAGAGAGCAGTTTCTTGACCAGATTTACCTCAACTTCGTGGACATCGTGGCCCTGTTCTTCGATATTTTCGACCAAGAGGATCCAATCGAAAAGCAGCTGTCTAGGGACAAAAACTTTCAATACGCCTCGATCAATATGGAAGAAATGAAGAAGTTCGCCATGTCACCAACGAACTTGCCGGCCAATCAACAGCCGATGTTCAGATCCAAGTTCTTGCTCAGGGAGCTTTTTCATCTATGCAGCCAGACAGAATATGAGCTTCAGACTTTGTGGACACCAGCACTTGTAATTGCGGTCACACGGAAGCTTCTCAACACGATCCATCCAGCTTTAGGATCTCTACATGCTTGCTCGGTACTTAGAAAGGTACGGGTTGTTATCGCCCTTGCTGGACCAGTCGCGCTCGAGGCATACCCTCTTGAGATGCTACTTTCTTCGACCAGACCCTTCATCGTGGACTCCGAATGCGCAGATGATGCACTAGGCATCAGTCGATACCTCCTATCCAAAGGACATGGCCATCTTCTCAATACTCCATCCTTTCTAGCCGGGTATGCACTATCAACCTTAGCATCCCTCAGAGTATTCCTTGAGTCCAGCCAGTCAAGCACAACCCAAGAGAGCCAATTCAGAGCTACCATGAGCAAGGCCCAGCAATTCCACTCCTGGTTTAGCGCATACCTAGCAGGATACGAATCGCCAATTCTTGCCGATGAAGAGCAGAGGCAAGCATTTCGGTCAATTACTCAGTCCGCCTCTAAGATTCGGTCGTCTGGAAACGCCGAGAAGGGTACGAGCGAGAGTACCCTTCTTCTGGAAATTCTCAAAGATGGGGAGCGCGATCAGAAGCTTTTGAACGAGGCTGCCCGAGACCTGGCCCTTGGCATGCTTTGCGGTGACTTCGTCGTGCCCTCTACCGGCCACCAGGACGTGATTGAGAACGATGATGAAGCGCTCCAAAACAGCGCTCTTGTGTGGAAGAGCTGCAATGCTCTCGATTTGAGTGATGAATACCTCGCATGGGCTGGTCGTGTTGTGGGCAGGTCATTCGCTGCGTCTGGAGAGATTCAGCCAGAACTGTTGGAGGAATCCGAACTTTCGCGGTGCAACAGGCTAGCCCCCGGATCTAACAACTCCGAGCAGGGGATTCTGAATCTGCTGCAGCAGCTCACGCAGAGCAAGCACACGGAAATTTCGGGTCTCGCGGAGTCTGCCTTACGGACGATCGTTTCGGAAGCTGATGCGCAAGGGGATGACGCTCTCCTCGTCGCATCCCAAACGACTCTGACCGAACCTCTATTTGTGGCTTCTGCTTGGGGGCCATATCGCACGCCCCCAACCGATTTCATCGCTTCACAGAACATTCCTGATTCACAGGTCTTCTTCCGTGATCACGTCGAAAGCCCAGATTGGATTCAAGAACTGGCAGTTCATCTTGCGCAGTCTGTTCCCGAATACATCATCCTCGCTGCCTTGGTACCGATTCTGAAGAATGTCAAGGGATTTGCGCAGGATTCGTTTCCATTCATCGTCCACTTGGCTCTATACAGCCAACTTGACAAGCAGCACGTCATCAAGCGCAACCTCTCTGAAGCCACGAAAGAGTGGCTCAAGATTCAAGACGAATCTGCTCGTACAAACCAAAAGCATCTGATCAACACCGTCTTGTATTTGAGAACGCAGCAGCTACCGAAGGAGACATCTATAGCAGATCGTGCTATGTGGCTGGACGTCGACTTTACCTCCGCAGCTGCGGCCGCCTCGCGCTGCGGTATGTACAAGACCGCGCTTCTGTTTACTGAAGTGGCTGCATCCCAAGCCACACGATCATCGCGGAGATCGTCAGCAGTTCGTGACGAAGACTCGACGGACGTTCTTCTCTCCATATTCGAGAACATCGATGATCCTGATGCCTACTATGGCTTGCCTCAACCTTCAGATTTGTCCAGCGTTCTTAGCCGCTTGGAATACGAAAAGGACGGCTCGAAACTTTTGGCTTTCCGCGGCGCTCAGTACGACAGCCACATTCAGCGCGGGGATCACGCTTCTCAATCAGATAGCCAATCACTTGTCAGAGCCCTCGGTACTTTAGGACTTGCAGGACTTGCGTATTCTATGCAACAAGCCCAAGAGAATCATGATGCTGATGAAGACTCCCTCGCGAGTACGTTTCAAACCGCTCGCAGACTGGAACGATGGAATCTGCCAGCACCGGCTTCGGTTGATAACTGCTCAGTGACAATCTACAAGGCTTACCAAAACATCCAACAAGCTGCCGATACGCTTTCAGTCCGAAGTTCCATCTATCACGGCTTCAGCCATACAATGCGCAATCTCGTCAACGGGGGACTGAATGCGGCTAAGCTGAGGCAGCACCTTGGTGCTCTTGCGGCATTGACAGAGCTGGATGACGTTATAAATGTTTCTGATTTCTTGGAGCTGGAGGGCATGCTTGAGAAATTTGAGCAGCGCGGACAATGGATGAGACGCGGACGGTACGTGCAGCTCAATATCAATGGGTGTTAAGCCCTCAACCCAGCCAGCCTAGCTAATGATCCTTCACAGATACGAAGACGTCAGTCACATGCTTTCCTGTCGAGAGACAACTTTGAGTTTGATGAGCCAACAGCCCAAACTTCGCAATACGAGCCTCTCTACCGCCGAAGCAAGACAGATCGAGATTCGTTCTAAGCTGATGTCTTCTGGTATTTACCGATTTCATCAAGCTACGCAGGAGTCACTCAATGTGTCAACCTCGCTTACTAGTCTGATCGTACCTTGCGAAAACCTGGGCTTGAAAGTCGATGCTGCTGTCAAAATTGAAGCCGCCAATTCGTTGTGGGATCACGGAGAGATGATTCACTCCATTCGAATGCTTCAAGGCATTGACAACGATTCTTCCCTCAAAAAGCAGACAATTCCTGTTAGTCGCTCGGATTTGTTGTCAAAGATCGGCCACCAAGTCTCAGTAGCAAGGCTAGAAAAACCGCATCATATTCAGAAGAATTACCTCGAGCCGGCGCTCAAAGAGCTTAAGGGGAAAAGCGAGGGCCAACAGGCTGGACGTGTGTACCATCAATTCGCCATGTTCTGTGACGAGCAGCTGCAAAACCAAGATGGCCTCGAGGACCTGGCAAGACTTCAAAGTCTGCGACAAGGCAAGAGCGATGAAGTTGCCCAACTTCAGAGTCTCATTGCAAGCACCCGCGACTCTCAGCTGAAGACCAGGTATCAGTCTCATCTGAACCGCGCCAAGCAATGGCTAAGTCTGGACGAGCAAGAGCTTCGTCGCGTTGAGACAACGAGAAGCGAATTTGTGCGGCTCAGTCTGGAAAACTATCTGTTATCACTCATTGCATCGGATGAGTATAACAACGATGCCTTACGATTCACCGCTCTGTGGCTTGAACGATCGAATGAAGACGCCACCAACGAAGCTGTACAGAAACATCTCGGCAAGGTTCCAACAAGAAAGTTTGCAACGCTGATGAATCAGCTGTCATCTAGACTGCAGAACGAGTCAAATCCGTTCCAAAAACTCCTGACCACGCTCGTCTACAATATCTGCGTCGACCATCCTTACCACGGCATGTATCAAATTTGGTCCGGATCGAAAGTTAAGCCCCGTAAGGAGGACCATGTTGCTCAGCTGAGGATCAGGGCTGCCGAGAAGCTTGCTGGGCTCTTGCAGTCCAACCAAACCGTCGCCGCGATATGGCAAGCAATTGACAGGACAAGCTCTTACTATCACCGCTTGGCCGTCGACCGGGACAATTCTAAGTTCAAGGCTGGACATAAAATTGCCCTCAAGGAAATCCACTCGGCTCAGTCGCTCGTCAATGCGCTCATCAAGTACCATATCCCTCCGCCGACTATGCAACTCGAAGTAGCAGCGGACAAGGACTACTCGAATGTCCCCACTATTGCAAGCCTAGATCCCCAGATGTCAATTGCGTCTGGCGTCAGTGCACCGAAGATCATCACGGCCATCGGGACCGACGGACAAAAATACAGACAGTTGGTTAAAGGTGGCAACGATGACTTGCGCCAGGACGCCATCATGGAACAGGTCTTTGCTGCCGTTTCTTCCCTTCTGAAGCTGCATCGATCGACACGGCAGAGGAATCTCGGCATCAGAACGTACAAGGTTTTGCCCCTGACGTCAGCCTCTGGGTTGATCGAATTCGTCCCAAATACTATCCCATTACACGAGTTCTTGATGCCAGCCCACGAGAGGTACTTTCCCAAAGACCTCAAGGGTTCTCAGTGCAGGAAGGAGATCTCCAATGCACAGGGAAAGTCCACCGACCTGCGCATCAACACTTACCGAAAGGTAACGGAGCGATTCCATCCCGTTATGAAGTATTTCTTCATGGAAAATTTCGAAGATCCCGACGAATGGTTTGTCAGGCGCTTGGCATATACCCGCACGACAGCAGCAATTTCGATGCTTGGACATGTCCTTGGTTTGGGAGATAGGCATGGCCACAACATCTTGTTGGACCACAAGACCGGAGAGGTCGTCCACATTGATTTGGGCGTAGCATTCGAGATGGGACGAGTGCTTCCTGTGCCTGAGCTGGTGCCGTTCCGTTTGACCCGGGACATTGTGGATGGCATGGGAATAACCGGGACGGAGGGCGTTTTCCGTCGCTGCTGCGAGTTTACGCTACACGCCATGCGAGAGGAGACATACTCCATCATGACGATTCTCGACGTTTTGCGTTACGACCCCTTGTATTCGTGGTCAATCAGTCCCGTCAGATTGGCGAAGTTACAGGGTGGTGGGCAAGATGATGCGGACGACGATGTCGCTGGGAAGAAGCAGGTGAATGAGCCGGGAGAGGCCCATCGTGCCTTGGAGGTCGTGCGGAAGAAACTGTCGAAGACGCTAAGCGTCACGGCGACCGTCAACGACCTTATAAACCAGGCAACCGATATTAGTAACCTTGCCGTCCTGTACTCGGGCTGGGCTGCATATGCGTAAGAAGATAGAGGACGACAACGGCGGTGACGGCGACGGATGACGGCGACGGACGACGCGAGGGGGCGATGAGGGGAGACGACGAAGGGGGACGAAGGGGGACGAAGGGGGACGAAGGGGGGCGAGGTAGAATGGGGCAATGAGCTGATTGAATGATACCCTTAGAATGGCATAATACAGTCTCCTGTGTGTACGGAATCGGTCAACGATCCCATGGCCCTACCAAGCCACGGGAATCAATGACCTGGCTGTCCAAAGCTCGGAATAGGCCGCAGCCGCTTAGAATATACCGAACTTGCTTGTGTATCGTCCCGTATGTGTGCATCGTCCCCATCGTCTTTATAGTCCACCATGCCCATCGTGGTCCCTTACCTCTCCCTTCCATCTCTTGTCGTTCCTCATTCACCTCGCTAGTCATCGGCAACCTACTAAGAGCCTTCGAGAACAACAACGGAGAAAGAATCGTGTACGCTTCATGAACCTGACGACCCCATGGAAGCCATATCTCAACCAATGGGTATCTACATCCAACTCATATTGAAACCCGTGGGTACCCATCACCCATTAGCCACATATATCTATCACTACGTATGGCCTATTATTACAAACATAATAGCTGACATAAGTAATTGTGAACGGTCTCATTAACTGAGCAACGTACATGAATAATCTTGATGTGTTATACTCAGACCTAGCCGTCGAAGAGGACCTTATTGAATGATACTATTAAAGTGAAATCTATAATGAATCTTCGTTATTGGTGTTTTATTTCCATCGTCACTGTCTTTCGAAATTTCCAACCATTTACCTCGCCCTTCCTCGTCTCTCGTCCTTGTCGGCGGAAAGCCGTACTGGGACCCTCGAAGATGTGGATGAGATGCCAGATTGAAATGTGGACCTTCATCAACAATCTTCAACTCAGACAATTGATCTAGAGTTAAGTCGGTCTCAAGTCTGACTAAAGGGTCATTTCATGGAATGAGCTAGGTGAAATTTGAGACAACAATCAGAAGGAGTTTTGGACGAAGCGAGGTGATGCGATTAACAGTAACATTAAAATAAACGGTCCGGGTAGGTGTGGAGCCACTGGGCCTACCTAGGTACGTAAGGTACTCTTATCTAATCCCCGGTCAGCGCGATAAGAGACGTACCCGGTTCTCTTGAATGGATGATGCGAACGACGGCATGGTGATTTGATAATGGTAGCTAGGACGCATACCTAGCTCCGCGTTTAACTCCGCGTCCAGATTCCCGCGACAACGACCACGACGTCTGTACTCGCACTTCCCAACCACACCAAGACCGATAATACCGCCACCACACGACGACGTACTATTTTGCAAGCCCGACGATAGCAAGACAAGACATTTCGGACACTCGGTCACCCTCTCTACCCGAACATCCTCGATTTCCAAAAAGCAACTAGGTCTGCAACAGCTTAGACAGAAGTTGTTGCAGGACCATACGGTCCATGCCGTCGAATTCACCCCCAGCAGTCGAGGGAGCTTTGCCATCACGGGCGACGGGAAGGACAGGCGGACCAGGTTCAATCGCGGATACGAATAGCCCACAGCGCCGACGACCCCGCGTGGACTCGGACGTTTCGCGCTCTGGCTCTGTCGCCCCGCATCAGCAGCTGTCGTCAAACAGGCCCAGCCCGAAGCGCTTCAAGTTTGGTGCCGAAGATCCTCCCAACTCCAACATGTCAACCAAGATGAAGGGCAAGCTCCCCGAGGTCATTGACCTCACCCAATCCAACTCGTACAAGCCGTACACGGGCGCGAAGAAGCTGGTCATCAAGAACCTGAGGCCGACAGCAAAGAACGAGCAGTTGGAGCAATACTACAAAAGGACAGAGCAAGAACTACTCGATGCTCTGCAAGACATTTTCAATGGGCGCAAGCCGCAGTTGCCTTTGGAGAGGCTGTATCGAGCAGTCGAGGACATCTGTAGGCGCGGTAACAGCAATGATTTGCAGCTCTACGAAACACTACGCAGGAAATGCGAGGAGCATCTCACTGGCACTGTGCTGCGTTCTATCAAGGCTCACGGTGGAAATACCAACGTTGAAATGCTGCGGAGCGTTCTCAAGCATTGGCGGGTGTGGAACGGCCAAATCGTGAGTTAGCCCACCTCAGGGTACTCGGCAAAACACTAACATCGGATGCCTCTAGATGACGATTCGATCTACATTCAGTTGGCTTGACCGCACATTCGTGCTGAAAAACAAGAACCTCACTTCAATTAACGACATGACAATTACTCAGTTTAGAAGGATGACATTCCCGTCGCGAGAAGATGCCGACGGCCCATCACCAGGTGGGCGGGCGCTACGGGGCATGTACGACTTGATTTCTTACGACCGGACTGGTGACGAACGGTTTGACGCTGCCCTACTGAAAGAATCCGTCATGATGCTCCACGTCTTCAATATCTACACGAAGCTATTCGAACCCCGCTTCATAGACAGTTCAGCCGAATATTTCCAAGACTTTGCCGAGGAACGAAGCTCATCGAGTCTGAAAGAGTACATTCTTGCATGTGAAAGACTCCTCAAGAGAGAAGACTACAGATGCAATGAGTACAATCTCGATTCCACCACAAAGAAACAACTTCTCGATGCCGCTCACGGTATTCTAGTCAACAACTACTCCGATAAGCTGTTGAATAACGAGAGTCTCTCGAAATTATTGGCCGAAAACGAGGTCGAGTCTATGAAGGCACTCTATGAGCTGTTGAGACTATCGGGTATTCAGAAGAAGCTGAGGGCCCCATGGAGCGCATACATCAAGAAGACCGGAGCTGCCATTGTGGCCGACAAGGAACACGGCGACGAGATGGTACGGAGGTTGCTTGAGCTGAAGAGGTCGCTCAGCCTGATCATTCGGGATTCCTACGGAGGCGACTCGGACTTCCTGAATGAGCTCAAGAATGCCTTTGGCGAGTTTATGAACGATCGCACAATCGAAAAGACATGGACATCAGGAACGTCCAAGGTTGGAGAAATGATTGCGAAGTATATTGACATGCTGCTTCGTGGCGGTCTGAAGGCACTGCCCAAGGCGTTATTGTCAGATAACAAGGACCGCGCTGCGGCAGAGCAAAGTGGCCAAGCCAGCACTGGAGACGAAGATGCGGAGCTTGATCGACAGCTGGACCAAGCCCTAGAGCTGTTCCGTTTCATTGAAGGCAAAGATGCCTTCGAAGCGTTCTACAAGAAGGACTTGGCCCGTCGTCTGCTCATGGGCAGGAGTGCCAGTCAGGATGCCGAGAGAAATATGCTCAGGAAACTGAGGGAAGAGTGCGGCACCAACTTCACACATAATCTGGAGCAGATGTTCAAGGACGTCGAGGTGGCCAAAGAAGAAATGGAGACGTACAAGCAGTGGTCAGAAGGCACTGGCGCGGGCAAGGCTCCAATAGACCTGTCCGTCATGATTCTGTCCGCGGCTGCTTGGCCAACGTACCCCGACGTAAGGGTTAATCTGCCCGACGATGTTGCCAAGCAGATCGAGCGTTTCGATCAATACTACAAGAACAAGCATACCGGCAGGCTTCTCCACTGGAAGCATGCATTGGCGCACTGCAGCGTCAAGGCGAAGTTCCCTAAGGGCACCAAGGAGTTGCTCGTTAGTGCATACCAAGCCATTGTTCTCGTTCTGTTCAATGAGGTTGGATTGGATGGCTTCCTCGCTTATGAGCAAATCGCGCGCTCCACAAACCTTCAAGGGGACGAGCTAGCGCGAACACTACAATCTCTTGCCTGTGGCCAGGTCCGCGTGCTAGCCAAACATCCCAAGGGCAAGGACATCAACCCAACCGACACCTTCACAATCAACAAGGCATTTTCACACCCAAAGATCCGAGTCAAGATCAACCAGATCCAGCTTAAGGAGACCAAGGAAGAGAACAAGGCGACGCACGAGCGTATTGCACAAGACAGACGGTTTGAGACTCAGGCTGCCATCGTCAGAATTATGAAGAGCCGGAAGACGATGAGCCATGGTGAATTGGTAGCCGAAGTCATCAACATGACCAAGAACCGCGGTGCTGTTGACGCGGCGCAGATCAAGAAGGAGATTGAGAAGTGAGTCGAATCCCTTTGCCGCATCTACTATGCTTGCTAACTTTCATGTAGCCTTATCGACAAAGACTACCTGGAGCGTGAGGGTAATACTTATACGTACCTGGCGTAGACAGCGTGTTGGAAAGGCCTGTTGTATACTAGACGTAGACACTCAAGGCGCGGCCACGTCGGAGGGAGACATGTAGATTACATGGCTTTTGTTAGAGCCACTGTATATGAATATCACGAGATGAGTGATTTCCACGAGGCGTTAGTCGATAATTTACTGGTTTAGTTCTCGGCAAGACGAAGTTGTGGTAGGCTTCTCATTACATTGTGGGAAGAGATACAGGTGTGGTGGCGAAGGGTGTCGGTATCCAGCCTCAGGAACTGCACCTGTAATAAATGGCCGTGGATATGCCCAGTAATGGTACAGCAGTTACACCAGCTGAAACACAGAGATCATTCTTATCCAGCGCTAGAGCCCATAGGTTCGAGTCTCTTGTTAGACTTTCCCTTTCCCTTTTTCTTGAAAGTCGTCGTCTTTCATATCGACTGACCCACAAAGCGACAGCTGGGTCCCGGTGAGCATTCGGTGAAGACCCACAGACCCCATGCCGGTCCCTGCGGAAAAATCATTGGACCTAGCGCATTGCGGGGTTCCAAAAAAAAGTTGCGGTCCCTCTGCGCCTAGCCAAAATTTCCAGAAATTTGTGCCAAAGGCGGTCGGCGCGAAATCTTTCCCAGTCGGAATCTCGAGAAAAAAAAAGGTCGTCAGGTACTTTTCGTTCCCAGCCCCGACTCGTTTCCCTTTCGAGGTTCACACCCATACAACCGATTCTTATCTTCGAATCGCCGGACATATCCCCAGTCAAGCCGACTTTTTAGATTGAGCCCGAAGAGATACAACCGCCAAGATGCCCAAGTCGAAGCGCAACAGAATCGTGAACCTGACCCAGGTCAGCAAGAAGACTCGCGAGCAAAAGGACAAGCTCTTCGCCAACATCCGCGAAACCGTTCCCGAGTACCAGCACTGCTTCGTCTTCGCCGTCGACAACATGCGCAACAACTACCTCAAGCAGGTCCGCCACGAGCTTACCGACTGCAGGTTCGTCGCCTTTTTCTTCCTCTCCTCTCCGATGCCCATTGCGCTGCGCCTGTCTCGCATAGCAGGGACGTTTCCTGGTACAATTGGAACCTCCAGACTAACCCCCTCCAAACCAGACTCTTCTTCGGCAAGACAAAACTCATGGCCAAGGCCCTCGGTCAAGACCCCTCCTCCGCCGTCGCGGACGGCATCGACCGTCTCACCCCCTTCCTATCCGGCACCGTCGGCCTCCTCTTCACCAACCGCGACCCCAAGGCCGTTCTCGAGTACTTTGAAGGCGTCTCCCCCGTCGACTTCGCCCGCGCCGGCACCGTCGCCACTCGCGACTTCGTCATCCCCCCGGGCGTCGTCTACGCCACCGGCGGCGAGGTCCCCGCCGAGCACGACGTGCCCATGGAGCACAGCATCGAGCCCGAGCTGCGCCGCCTCGGTATGCCAACCCGCATGATCAAGGGCCGCGTCTGCCTCGGCGACGCCGACGGCTCCTCTGGCGAGGGCTACACCGTGTGCAAGGAGGGCGACACCCTGGACAGCAGGCAGACGAGGCTGTTGAAGCTGTTCAGCGTCTGCCTGAGCGAGTTCAAGGTCCAGGTCATGGCGTACGTCTTCTCTTTTTACTCATTTGTTCTTTTCTGGAGGACCATTCGTTTGGGCTAACTTCGCGAACAGATACTGGAGCGCGGCGTCAGGCGAGGTGACAGAAGTCAACCCCAACGCCATGGAGGCCGACAGCGACTAAAGCGCCTTTGAGGGCGGGAAGGCCAGGGTGGGGAATGGATGACCAAAACGTATAAAAAGCTTCTAGACTTGATGATTGCTTCTTCATGTAGGCTGATACCATCATGGATTGCGAGGGGTGGACAACAAAAACAACACTGCGGCGTTCGGGCGGTTCATTAGATTACAATTTTTTTCGGTCATGCGTCGGGCATCTTTCACACATTTTCACATGTCCTCTTGGTTGAGGAAGTACTTTCTCGTACGCTTTTGTTTCTATGAGGATAGAACGTACCCAAAACGAGCCAGAAGAATGCTACGTACGATCTGTCTGTCTTGGAAAACGAGAGGTCCTCACCTATTCGTACAAGTAATTATAACGCGATACATGCGGGAACTCCACCTGCCCTTTTTTATGATCCATTTGATGTCTTCCATGCTAATCTCCAGGTCAGTAGGCACGGAGTCCCTTACCTCTGACCTTACCTGCAGCGTCGACCAATCGTTTTCGGAGTGATGTTGCTTGCTCGAGCTCGAGTGATAGAGTACATGCAGAGATGATTACCTTCGACGGTATGCGACGGTATGCTGCAGCAAATTTGATGCGAACGAATGTCTCGGTAGCCTGTGGGATGAAATTGAAGCGCCTGAATACGGCCGCACTGTATGCGCCTGTTTGCGACCCTTTTGACCCGGAGATGGAGAAGACTTGTTTATGCTTGACACCTGCTTACCCTCGATGAAGAAAGGGAAGAAGGAAAGAGACTGAAAGATGAGACGCGCGGGTGAGCCACCCACCGCAAGACACTACGTGTCTCGTCAGTAGCGACGCAGCTTTCTAGGATCCTCATAGCCGCCGCCGTCGTAGCCTCGTTTCCTGTTGTCGTCATCGCGAGGTCGGTCGTAGTCCCTGTCCCTGTGGCTGTCACGGTCCCGGTCTCGGTCGCGATCCCTGTCGCCTCGGTCACCGCGATACCCACCTTCTCCTCTGGGTCTGATCGGTTCCATGTTGCTTCCTGTCCTGCGGCCTCCGTCACGGTCGCCGCGGTCTCTGTCGCGATCTCCGTACCGGTCGCCATGGCGGCCACCTGATCTGTCGTCATGTGAGCGGCCGCTTCCACGGTCATACCCACCGCCGGAAAAGCCGCGGTCGCCTCCTCCGAAGCTGCGTCCGGGTCCTGAAGGAGCATCCCTGGGAGCGCCGTATCCGTTAGGGCCGCCTCGGTCACCACCACGGTTGAAGTCTCCACCGCCACGGAATCCTCCACGGCCGCCGAAGCCTCCTCTAAAGCCTCCGCCGCGACCGCGTCCTCCCTCGAAGCCGCCACGGAAGCCTCCTCGGAAACCGCCGCCACCGCCGAAACCACCGCCAGGTCCGCCCATGGGCCTAGCCGGCAGGGCTTTGGTATATCCTCGGCCTCCGAGGCCGCCACCGAGTCGGCGAGGTACCCAGCCCTTGACGGTGCGCCCACGTTCGACGTCTACCTTGATACGTCGGTCCTTGATTCGAATACCATCGCAGGCATCTAAAGCAGCTACTCACCAGTGCGCCAAGGCGCTTGTGTCAGTAAACCCTTACCAATATCATACCTTTGCGTCGTGGAGTGGAATGAGAGAAAATAAAAACAAGATTGTGAGACGGGCAAGCTTGAGGGCCACGGATCTCGGTGTGTAGAGCTGGGCAAGGGCAAGCCTGAGGGCCACAAGCCGGGAGGGAGATGACTGTCGGATAGGCCGAGCATCGTCAGGGGGGTTCGGCGTCATTACCTCTCATATCTTTCTCTCGTTCAAAAACAACGAAAGCGTAGCCACGATGGGGCTTCTTCTTCTTTCTGGGTTTCTCATGAGCATGAGTGTCAGTGATGATACGAATCTATCTGACAGTCAGCTTGATTAGGCCACGTATATTGGGGAACAGGAGGACATACGCGCTCAATGGGGCCGAAACGGCCAAACTCCCTCTCGAGATCCTGTTCGTTGGCCTCGTAAGAGAGTCGCGCAACAATCAAAGTCTTGAAAGCATCGCCGCGAATGTTGGAGTCCTCGTGGGGTTTGACTGTAGAACAGAAATGTTAGCACAGATCTACGAAGACAAACGATGTGTAGGGGACTGACAGTTCTTCGGCCCTTCCGTCTTGAGCTTCTCGACTGCAGCTTGCTTCTCAAGCTTCTTTCGGTCGCGCATCTGCAACCAGCTCTCTGTCGGTTTGTATTCGTCGGTCTCCTTGTAGGCTTGAAGTGCAGGCAAGAAGTCGGCGACACCAGAGACGGGTAGGGTCTTGCGCTTTTCGGGCGCATGGTCGGGAGGCGGCACCCATCGCAGGGGCGGGCGCGGCGCGAACAGCGCCAAAAGGTTGGGAGGGAGCTTGTCGGTCATCGCGAAAGACGCTTTTTGTCAGTATCCCAAGATCGTAGATATCCTCTAGCTCCACTGAGATGCGCGCGATGGCGTGCAGCTAGGGATGTCGTAATGGGACGTGGTGGGAATGGGGTTGAAGGAAGAGCGTCGCGTCCGTCCTTGAAATTGACACGAGAACGTATGGCAAGGGAAAGTTTGTGGTGCAGCCTGGTTCTGTCCAGACACTGGACCACCCGCAGTTGTGCCAGCCAATGGTAGCTGTTCAAACAATGCAAGGTGGGTTCAGAAGACGCGGTACGTACTGCAGCAGCTCCGGTCCAGCTGGCTCGGATCATTTGCGATTTTTGCGCTAAGAAATTTCCCGCTCGTGGCAGACGGATGACCTTCTTGCGACGACTCGACTACGCAATAAAGGGATCTGTATGCCAGGCAGGATACCATGACGATCCAGGCATTGAAGACGGTGTCCAAGGGCCAGGTATGTGCTCTCCGCCTAATAGCGATCTGTTTCAATGGCTGACAACTCGGCAGAATGGCCTTGGCTCATTCATCCTCCAATGCAAGAAGTTGGACTTCCACTATTGCGACTGGGCTGGTAGCTCCAAGGGCATGAAGTAGGCAATCTCTGGGTTCTGGACGTCTTATATGCATACTGATTTTTTCTTCCAGCGGATTTATCAAGTCTCAGCTCCCCAAATTCGCCAAGGCCCACCCCCAGATCGAGTTCACCGTGTCGCCCCGACCCGCGAAGCACCCCATGATTGTTGGCCACTACATCAACGGCCGCGAGAAGGCCGTGTGTGTGCGAAATATGGAGCCCTTGGAGATTTTAAAGAAGGCCGAACTGCTGCGTGACGCCAGCGGAGAGAAGCTCAAGAGGACGAGCAAGCCTGTCACGAGTATCAACACCAGTGTTAGAGGTGTATGGTCACCGTACCATGGCAACGGCATGGCTGTATAAAAACCTACGAAAACATTTACGACATCTCATTGGAAAGCATGTAAGACTATGACCGGGCCAGGCGTGCATAGGAGGAAAAGGCAGCATGACATGTTTGTTGCTTGTAAAATATCACCCGAACGGGATGGGGAACGAGTGCCCCCTCAAAGCACTCGAAATGCAGATTTCTCAACGCTCACAGATGAGACATGATTACAGACGTGTATGTGGGTATACTGAATTTTGTTTTCTTCTCTACTACCTCGGGCACTACGAAAGGTTTCGTTTTTTCGTTGCTTCTTGTCCTGAGCTACCCAAGCCATCGTGAGGCCATGTTCAAGCGTTCATCATCATCAGGTATGTTCTATTTAGGGATTTACTGCTTGGCGTTGACAATATCGACGACTGTATCCTGTCAGTACTGGGAGTCGGTTTCGTTGGCGAAGAGAGTACTCACAGCCAGGCTTCAAGCTGGCACCGCCAACCAGGAAACCGTCAATGTCCTTCTCCTTGGCCAGGTCCTTGCAGTTCTTCTCGTTGACACTGCCGCCGTACAGAATGCGGGTCTCCTCGGCGACCTTGTCGCTGACGTTCTTGGCGAGCCAAGCGCGGATGGCGGCGTGAACCTCCTGGGCCTGCTCGGTAGTGGCAACCTTGCCGGTGCCAATGGCCCAGATGGGCTCGTAGGCGACGACAACCTTGGACCAGTCCTTGATAGCGGCGTTGAGGGCAGCAAGCTGCTTGCTGACGACGTCGACGGTGGTGCCAGCCTCGCGCTCCTCGAGGGACTCACCGCAGCACCAGATGGCACCAACGCCGTTCTCGGTGGCATACTTGGTCTTGGAGGCAACAACCTCGTCGGACTCCTTCAGGATGGTACGGCGCTCAGAGTGGCCAAGGATGGCCCAGTTGATGTTGCTATCCTTGAGCTGGGCAACGGAGATCTCGCCAGTGAAGGCACCGTCGGGCTTGTCGAAGACGTTCTGGGCGGCGACCTCAACGTCCTTGCGGAGGAGCTCACGGGTGAGCTGGAGGTAGATGGCGGGAGGGGAGACGACGACCTCTGTGGGCCAATTGTCAGCTGCAATGTCTTCTTCCTGTGCTCTACATTGGAGCAAGTGGGCAAGTACCAGTGTTGGGGTCGAGGGTGGCGCCGTTCAGGTTCTCGACAATCTTCTTGATGGACGACACAGAGCCGTTCCTATCCAGCGCGAAGCATGACGTGTTAGCCCATGTTGCGGTGCTGGCTGTTACCGGAGCTTCCATCCCCCCTCCCTCCATGTGCCGTCTCCCCCTTGGGATGGGTTGCTGCAGGATGTCCGATGAACCCCGCCAACGAAGAGACTTACATCTTGAAGTTGCCGCCGACGAAAAACTTGCGAGCCATGTTGGGCAATTGGTGGTATCTGATGATTCTAGGGAGAATGGTGAAGCTTCGGGAGTCTGAAGGACAGTTCAGAAAGATCGGATCACGGCTGGAGGTGTAAATGACGCAGGACAGGTTTTGGCAGGTAGCTTGTCGTAACAGTAAAAAGACCTCAGCTCCAGCGCGAGGTGGGCTTGATGGAGGGGCAAGGAGGGGCGGGGGCTTTTTCGCAGGTGCAGGACACCGGAGGGGCAGTGGCACGCTGTCACGGCACCTCACAGCGCCTGCAGCACCAAAATCAGCAGTTCCGGTGGGGCTCCCAGCGGCTCCGATCTGGCCCGGGGCCTGCACCCGCCCCGCACTCAACCTCACTTTCTCACTGGGTGACCTGAGCGGTCGGTCGCCGTGGGCTGAGAGTGTCCTCCAACAACCAGCGCCCCTCAACACTTTTCGTGACCAGTCGGTCCGGTCCATTTCCCTTCACCCTGGACGCCAAGCTACCTTTCCAAGAATCCAATCGGAAGTCTTGTTGCTCATGTCAACCACAGCTACCTCATCGGGGAGCGCCTGGTCAGGTTTGGCTAGTCCGTGTCTTCCATCGAGACACTGGGTGACTCGTCTGAGTGATCGCCTTGAGACCTGGCCATCGTCGTGGAATCGATCAACATCACAGGTAGGCTTCAGATATCCGCAGCATCGTTGTTGTCAGACTCCATGATGAGGAGATACGCCTTGCTTCTCATGCACAACCGCCAGAACCCGGACACTGTCGTATTTCTGTGAGGTAAAGACCTCGGGTTGGTTCTGCATGATCCTGTTTCTTCCGAATACACGGCTACTCTGCAGGTTGCATCACCATACCTCGGTAACCATTCGTCAGCACTTTTATGTGTATCTAAAGAGACAGCTGCTCTATTGCCGAGCCAACAAAACAAATCAATCAACAGCTTGAAAATCTGGGACCCGCGAGAACTACGGAAAAGCCAGAGAGGAAACACCCAGGCCTGTCATACCCACTCGATGGCTCTGCTGCTCGTGTGCATTCACTCAGATCTTCGTCTACCTGTCACCACACTCGTTCCGCGCTGTAGCATACCGGCTTTCCAAAAGAAACATCTGAGGCGGGCTGCGGACCTGGACAGGTTTTCTCTTTCCCCGGTTTGGGATAGAATTCACACCGTAACAGTCCAAAAAAAGCAAAGTCACAACTGATCGCCCGCCTAACTGTCATCCTGTCCAGGACCCATGCCCCGGGGACACAGATCTCTGGCTGACTTGCACAGCTTCGTATCCATGCCGATGGACCCAGGAAAAAGAAAGCCTTCATTGAAATCCAGCCCCTGCTGGAGATCGTGCCCGACTTCATTCTTGCTGTTCCAGCTCAAATTTTTCTTCGTCTTGCTTGAAAAGTCTCAGCTCGGACCAGCGCATTGTGTGTTATCGTGTTATACAATGTCCAACGATGTGGTGTTGGATCTGATTTGTGAGTTGAGTAGTATTTCGCGAGCTTTGGTCTTACACATTCGAACAATTCAGTGCTAAAGAGGGATCTAATGAGACCGTCTCGGTCACTGTTGACCAGCAGTCGGTTGACGGTCAGAAATGATCACCCAGCTATCAAGAAACCCGTCACTTCCGCGGCTGGCTGGTAACCCGGCCTGGTTTTCTCATTCGTCTGACTGACACCGTTGGACAGCGCAGTTTACAAGAAGCTTTTGGTGGCCAGCGAACAAGTGGTTCTCCGCATTTGGCACCTCAGAGTTTGCTGAAGGAAGAGATGACTTTCAGACTTGACGGGAGCCACCAACCCCTTACCAGCATCGGCAAAAGTTCGACTCCTGTCTTTGAGTCCTAGAAAGCAGCAAAACGTCCACGATGGCAATCAGAGCCGAGTGCCCCTCAATACTCGACGTCAAAGCCATATCAGGATGGTGGCCTTGCACAATAGATGAGCGTGACAGTGCTTGGCTACCCATAAGGCCGCCAGTGTAAGTGAGCAGCATCTTAGCCTACTGTACTTGAAATGTGATGGCGTCGTCATGAGACGGGCAGCAAGCGTGATATCCACGTTTCATCCACCTTTACCGGAGCTATTCATCACGAATCTGCCCGAGACATCACGGTTTGTGGCAACCTGGGGCAAGATGATGAACAGGCGTTCTAGATGTACGGCATCCCACTGAAGATGGGTCCTTCATAGCTTTCAAACCCAGCATACGAACAGACAGGGCGGTATGAGTGAACCCATGTCGTGTCGTGTGTCGTCCTGATTAGGCCGGTCACTTAAGTAACCGGGGGCGCAGCCGATGGAGGGCCAGACACACGTGGTGGCGTTGACCCCAGTCCAGTCTCTGGGCCCAATCGCATCCTCAGCATCCAGGATTCAGGTGCGGTCCTTGGCGTTCATGGCTTTTTGACAGTTGGAATAGGCGAGGGAGGTTGGAGGCGGGCGCCCGGGAGACGTTGATTATTCCGTGGTGTCGTCGACATGAATGACAGATTCATTGGGTCCAAGCTGCGAGCAACAGAGCTCATTCGCGAGTGTTGGAGAACCCCAGTTCGCGGGGTGTCGATTGAAACGGCTTCTCGCCGAGGTGGACTCGGAAACAGTCGAGAAACAGTCTTTTAGCCAAGTCGGTCACTGAAGAATCGGGCATGATGGCACACCACTAGGTCGAGATCGATGAGGCCTGCTCTACCCCATGCGAGGGA